ATCTATAATTTGCCTGCACCGTGTCGCAGTTTACATTTCCACAAGCAACAACTATTTGTGTGGACCACAAATTGTTGCGGGTCCGGGTGTGATGTACATGTGAAACTGTATGTTTGTAAACGCACCCAGGAGTAGATGGTAAATTGCCCTACTTTAAAAGATACAAAAAATACAATCAATTGTAAAATAGAAAGCCAGTTATGTAAGCAATATGGACAGGGATAGTCAAAAGAGCTGCTAATCTATTTTTTTTTTTCAAATAAATGCTAAATACTTCATGGTGATCACAAAAAACGGACGTAATCCACAGTAATAGCTTTCATAATGACACCGCACTTTAATTCATATGGTATATGCTACCGTCTCAGGTGTCACGTTCGCCACGCTCAGCGCACACTTCCACAAGGCGTGACATAAACTTCCTTCAGGAATGACGAACTCCACACTTGGATTTATTGACCGTCGTCTCTTATTGAGCTTGACTGCAGTTTATAGTTTGAGTTCCCGTTTCCTGTTTGATGCGCTTAATACCCTCCTTAATGTAGTTGGAACTGCTTCTTAAGCAGAAAGTACGCAGTTTCGGTTGATGAAGGTAGTTCGAATACTTTGTTGTTGTTTAAATAGCGATGCAGACTGGCTGTTGAGGATTTTGAACAGTTCTGTTTATTTGTTAAGCTTTATAGTGCAGTAACTCGATATACTTGTATAACAAAATCAAGAAGTTTGTTATGCAAAATGGTTTGTATTTAGGGCTCGAGTGGTATGTTGATAACAAGCCGCATATGTGTTAATTCCAGGTTATCAGCTATCGTCATGCGAAATAACAACCAAATCGGTACAGCAGTTTTTGCGTGGAAGTCTAACAAAGATACATCAATATATTCTCACAAACTTGGTAATTTATAATAGTAGTAGAATTTAGATCAATGCGTCCATCTGAAATATAAAATCTTGAAATCCATTTTAAAACGGCAAGCCCACCAAAAGTACCAGGGATACATAAGTCGCTTCGTAGTAGAGACCACCGCGCCACTTGAGCGGCTGTTGAGGACAAAAAGAAGGAAAAAAATGTCGACGACGTAATACCGAGATGACAAATACTCCGTTTTACACTACAGATGTATTTGAGTTGAAATGTTGGATTATTTATTTCTCGTGCCTTTCCAATTTTTTGTTAAAGATAAAACTAAATGGATTCTTAGTTTCTTATTTGTTCCTTTATGAGTTTTATAGACGGTTCAATTGTATTTATTATATTAAATGTGAATTTATTGCGATACAGTAAGAGCACAAAAGATATTTACATATACATATTTCCATTTGCTTACTTAAAAAGTTTAGTAGACGTTAATTGTATGTACCTAGTGAATTGTGTAGATGAATGTGTTCACGAAATATCCACAAAGAAAAAACTGAACCTCGTCTTTCACCTAAAAATAGTCATTATACATACACATACATACCTATACAAAGCACGTGAATACCACACCATCCCATATATCATCAGGAAAACATAAAAGTACGATTCAAACAGTGACGGAGCGACGTCATGGAATACCGAGTATAACGTCACTTCATGTAGGCAGACTGAGATTCCACATAAGTATTTAACGACAGTTTTACGGCCGACTGGAGCCGGGCTGACTCAATACTATGCTTGCTGCACGACCAGCCTTACCTAAAATAAAGAGCTATCTCACCATCATAGGATTTCACTCACAGAGCTCTCGTTAACTGGCCATCAGTCAAACTTTGCGTATAAGTGTTCCATTAAATGCAGTCAATAATGCTATATATATGTGAATATTTTCTTAGGAAAGGATTTATTTTAATACCATAGCATTGGGTAATTAAAACTGAATTCGGTATAATTGTTCTGGTCCAAATTAAAGAATTATTCAGATCTATATATTTTATTTAATATGTTAATATTGTTTTTAAAGATTATCTTCAAATGATTAAACATTTATTTGAAAGAAATGATAATAGGTACCTATTTTCATTTCTTTAACTCACAAAGTAAAAAAAACATAAATATTTTGAAAAGAATAATAAAATATAAATAGTTTGAGTATCACTTGAGACTGCTCAAGCGAGAAAATTCGAAGAAAAACACTTTGTTATTTATTTCAGAAAACTTTTTAGAAGACTCACAAAAAATAACACTCCTTTTGCTTTATATCAACTTAGATCAAGTGGATACAAAACTACAAGTGGTGAAGTAAATGCTAGAACTGCGTAAGCCTCTTAAGAGTTTCAAAAGTTCTCATACAAACCTTCAAGTCCAAAAATCATAGAATCCACTAAACCGATTTTAATAAAACTTAGTACTCATAATCATGTAATATATTATTGTATCGAGACTTAATTTGGTAGTCTTTTTCAAATGTTTTCATCGAGCTAGTATTTTTTATTTGTATGGAATGTCTCTCTCAACTCATTTTCGAAATCGTAAATAGTCTCATTAAAATCGATTCAGTAATTTCCAAGACTTTTAGCTTGCAAGTTTGTATAGAATCGCATGCGGCGTATACGTTTTAAATACCTTAAGGCTTTACAAGTTTAGTGGAAATAAAATTAGGGCCATTCTCTTTACTTTGTTATGTAAGAAGACACACACCTTTTATACACCTAACTACAATCCCCTCGCTAATCTAGGATACGACCGTAAACTAATTAACTGCGAAAGTATGACCTCCACGAGACAAAAGCTTGTAAGAGGATTAAGCGAGTATTTGTTCCATCCAATTCCGAATAGCCTATTCAAAAACGATATTAGTTTAAAATTATTTCAGATATTTAAGGTTCAACTCTAAGCTGTTTTAAACACTTCAATTTCGTGATTCCGTTCAGAAATTTTAATCTCTACGATCCAATCTAGCGTTCCATAACTTTATTATCAAGGAGTTTTAATCCTAATTAATATTGTTCTTAGAAATAGTTATTGTGTAGCAACAAATTGCTCTGCGGAACTTTAAGTCACAGGATGCCATCAGTCTAACGATACTTCGTGATTACGGCTATTATCAACGATATATTTCTTCCTAATGGGTAATAGACTATTATGTTAGTAGCTTTTACCCAGAAAATAAGACACAGAATTATCTGCGAGCATTCGGGTGGAACCAGAGGAATTTTCGCCTTATTTGCTCTTCTAAGGACCCATTAACTTAACGTTACATCTTGTTTAAGATGATCAAAGGCTATTTTGTTTTAAGTGCAATAAAATCTGGCCTACAAACATAACAATGATAAACAAATTACCGCGAGCTGATTTATGAAGCTGCTACATTGACGTAATCCCTTTGCTCGGAGCATACCATTGTTAAGGCCTTTTAACAAACAGATGGGAGTATAATGGAAAACGCGAGTCACGGTGGTTTCGCGCTTCCTGGCATCGCGGCAGATTCTTACTCGTTCTATTAAGATCTTTCGGGTAGAATACATACCATTTTATAAATGAAAACAGACGTGAAAATAAGTCATAAACTGTTTTTTTTATAAAATAATATAAAAGTTTATGTAAAATAAATGTATACGTAACATTTCAATTACGTTAAATATTTTGAATGGAGCACACACAGTATCACTAACTGATGAAACTGTTGCTATACCACAAACACGGAAAACCGAAACCGAGTTTCTGTATCCTGTAATTAACGCAAGTGGACGAACTAGTCCGAAATAATGAACTGTACTGAACCACGGCAACGTAGGAAGAGCTTCTGTTGTTGCTGAAATTTATCTTAGAGGCACAACCAATGCTTACATTATGATTAAAATATTTAATGTATATGTATTTCTTAAATGCTTTCACTTTAGAAAAACATAAAGTTTAAATTATTAAACTCTAATCAGGAAAAAACATGATGTAGTTGATTTACCTAAAAAATTACAAAAAGACTTTTTACCTAAAAAAATCCAAACAATCCAAACCAAATTAAACAGTCCAATTTTCTTCTTTGTCAAAATCGATTTTATTGCATTGTAATCAAGTCATTCTGATCAAATGTGATGGATACTAAACGCAAAACGAGACCCTAAAACCGTAATGTGATATATCTTCGGAACAAATTACTTTCATTATACAGTAATGTTATTCAAAACAAAGGCTAAACGTAATAACTATGCCTACAAAGCTGAATAGCCTAATTTAAAAGCACTATTCTTGATAACGTTAAAACTAAACGCAAATGTTGACCACAGAGTAAATAAAGCGAGCTCAAACGTGAGTAACAGAACACTTTCAAATCACTCTGACAGAACGGCAGAACTAATCCAACCGAAGCCACAACACACGGAATAATGTCCGACCGCAAAACAGCTTTGCTACATACCACTGAATTTGTGCCTAGTCAAAAAAATCAAGGTTGACTTACCACAAAGCTGACCACGCTACCACTACGAGAAATATAACGAATAAAGAATTTTTACCACTGTTTCATTGTTGGCCACCATTCAAATGTGATCCGTTCGTTGGTACTGAAATTAACTTTATGCGGCATATGTTTCAAAAAAGGTTTTATGTTGTTGGCCTTTTTTTGTTTTATGATTTTATACGTGTGTAAACATAATTATAAAACAAATAATCAACGTAACACTTTTTATTGTTTTCATTATCATTAAGTGTGGGAGAGCCATAATTGACATGTGAGTGGTTGTTCTACGGCCTCACAGAAAACTGGCGTGAAACAACCACAGCGTTTTGTTTAGCCGTGTGAGTAAGGTTAACGTAGGGGTGAGGAATACTTTCCTAAATCTTCAAATCCCTAATCCCCAAAAGGTCGGCAATGCACTCATAATTCCTCTGTTGTTGCGGGTATCCATTGGCGGCGCTGATTGCTTATCAAGTAAACCGCGTTTTCGTTAGCCGTCTACATTAAAAAAATATTCGATTCATTATACTGTTTACCGACATTTGTCAAAGCAAAGCTTAAATCAATTAAAATGATAGCGATCATTAGGAGCGGCTCTGAAATCTATCAAGGGACTGGACCCATCGACGATTAATTTAAACTCGAAGATTTCTCTTTGACATTCTAGTTCTCTAACGAACATTATTAAATCAAATATTTTCTGTTGATTAAATACTCGTGTTTCTGTCGTTTCCTACCTACCTTCAATGTTTATTTTATTAATTAATAACTAGCTAGAACTGTGACTTCACTTTCGTAGCAAAAAAAATTGTTCGTTTATTGTACTAACTTTTTCTTTTCATGATGTTATTAGATCATTTCCTTAACTATCATTGCACGTGGTTTGAAAGGATATCAATGTTGGTGATCCTGCTGAACTGCGTCACGTTAGGCATGTACCAGCCATGCGTCGACGACCAGTGTGTAACAAATAGATGCAAAATACTACAGGTAAGCTTTCACAAAATATCAACCGTACTACAAATTGCCGCTAATATTAAAAAGTATAATAAAAAAGATCCAAAAACAATACAAACTTTTTAATCAAAAAACGTTCCTAACGCGTGCACTCTATGAAATAAAAAAAAAGAACACTGGCCACCGAGAAAAAATTGTGGAAGCTTGTTGAAGTGATTTTCTTTTGTTTTATTTATATTTACGCGCCAACGAATTTATTAGCTTGCTTAATTGGAATTCTCAACCTTTTTTAATTCATTAAATCTCTCATTTTAACAAATATTTTAATAAAATGTCTGTTGCAGGTTTTCGACGACATAATATTTGCGTTTTTCACGTTGGAAATGTCAATCAAAATGGTGGCGATGGGCGTTTATGGTCACGGGACATATTTAGCGGATTCATGGAACAGGCTGGATTTTTTCATTGTTATGGCTGGGTTTGTAACAAATTAGACCTTATTATTAACATGATCTTCAATTTTAACAGAATATTATATTTATGCAATTTATACCTCTCTGAAAAATTATTACAATTCAGCTATGTTGCAAGTCGTATTTTGTTATAATATGTATTACTAGTTTACAAAATATCTTTATTTGTATTTACAGCGCACTGGAATATGCTTTAAACGTGGAAAACATAAATCTATCAGCAATCAGGACGATTCGAGTGCTAAGACCATTGCGAGCCATCAACAGGATACCAAGTACGTAACTTTTTTATAAAGCCCATCGTAATTTTTTACTCAATTCCTAAATACATTTAAGTGTGGGAAAGCCATGCTTCGGCACGAATGGGTCGGCTCGACCGGAGTGATACCACGGCCTCACAGAAAACCGGCGTGAAACAACCACAGCGTTGTGTTTCGCCGTGTGAGTGAGGTTACCGGAGGCCCAATCCTTCCCCACCCCTAACCCTTCCTCAATCCCTAAATCCCAAAATCCCTAAAAGGTCGACAACGCACTCGTAACTCCTACGTTGCGGGTGTCCATGGGCGGCGCTGATTACTTACCATCAGGTAATCAGTCTGCTCGTTTGCCGATCAATTACATAAAAAAAAATCATTAATTATAAACAAATAAATCTATTCTGGCTGTAGGCATGACACAAAAGCATCCTTGACAAATAAAAGAAACAGACTTCGATATTATTAAAAAATGGCAATAAGATAAAACATAATTCTAATAAGGATTAATAACATCAATGCTGAAATACTTATTCATCTAGAAAATTCTTATAATGATTCCAATTCAACATTGAATGCAAATAATTTCAAGCCCTTGAATATCTTTAAGGTACTCAAAGAATTACATAATTTCTTCTACAAAATTCTATGACATAAATCAAATGAGAAAATTGTATAATGAATTGACTTAACGAACTCATATTATCAATCAATCTCTATTGAAGTTTTCAAATAATTCGTTAGCATTCGTATGAATTGCATTACGCATTTTACATTTCAAATACCTCCATATTTGAATATTAGACTAAAGATCATCCCATATCAAAAATAAATAGAAAAACGTTTTGTTTGGAACAAAATAATTTTCATATGTTTATTGTTTTTAGAAAAAACTGCCTGTTTTACCAAATTAAACCTACTGAAACCTTATTGGTTTGTTTACTATATATGTCGCAATCAACCAATTTTATTTTGGCAGTGGGGGGAGAGGAAAATAAAGAAAAGACTCCATCCTTTCTTCCTTCCTTCTGCCCCAGGCCAGAGCCGCGGCACATTATAACGCTTGACCCACAACTCTGGAGCAGCCAACTAGCTTAATTTGCCATTCGATTAACTGCCTGCATTACTTACCTGATAATAGAATTGATGAAATTCTTAATCTGGACGTAATTTAAAACGGGAAGTGGTTATCATTAAATTGAAGGAGTTGCTGCCAGATTTGGTTAAGTCTAAGCCCTCAATGAAAGCAAATGGCCGTCAGAATTAAAAAAAAAAAATCATTAGCGTTTTGTGTTCCGTGTTTTAATATATGAATCCAAAAATTGACTGCATATGATATGTCTTTTAATACATATACTAACATATGGCAAACTCTTCAAAGTTTTTTTTAAACGCATACATTCAATCTTGCATTACTTATTCTTGAAAATTTTACGTTTTTCGGTACAATATAAAAAATCAATTTACCTCTTGGTAAATGTAAGTTAATTACGATCTCGGCCTATTGAGAAATACATCGTACATTACCTATAAAACTATTTTATCAAAAATAATGACTATGGTGTTTCTTTTACCTTCACAAAGACATGACATGCAATTCTATTTGAGCAAATTATGCGATTATCTACCGTGCATTACATAAATTATAATGTGCTACTATTAGGTATCACAGTTTTCCATCCGACGGATTAGTAACATTTTATTACACAACCTGTCCTAGAAACTAATCTGCCCTTTAGTTACGTTTATAACCAAATGTAGAGCTACCAACTAACGAGGCAGCCCTAACGCTTTATTTTATTATATGTATAACTGTAAGACAACCACAACAAACCACGCGTTTAATTACATTACGGTATACCATCAAAGAATTCTCTTTTATCAAAGCAACCCTAATTCAATATTCCTCTTTTGAATGCCGAACAAATAGTCTCGACCACATAATCCAACTGGATGGACGCAATAATTCATGCTATTAAATAAGTAGAATATTTTATGAAACCATTACGTTTTACGTTGCAAAAATGTGCTTTTTATTTGATGTTGTAAACTTTTTGAGTGCTCAATTCGAATAATTGAGCGATTTTATTGTTTCGATTTTTCTTTTTTTATTTTCGCAAAATTTGCGCGTTGACGTTGTTCCACTCTAGGCAAAGAAGGACAATAGTGATAATGAAATGTTATGAAAGTATACCCACTTATAAATATAGCAGCCTATCGATTTTGCTCATATTTTCAAAAGTAAATGCACGCATAAACATAATGCCTTTATAAAATAACTGCAAGTATAAAATGCACCGTATACTATACACAATATATAATAATTATAATTGTTATGTAAATAATAAAGTGACTTTTCGCTGTGGTCGAAATTGGATACACCGCAGTTTATTAATAGATAATAATACAGGCTACTATTAGACCTTTTCTAAGCGAATGAAGCGATAAGCGTTAAATATGTACACCATGAGCCTTTTCGTATACAGGGGGCATAATGGCTGGAAAATTCGAGTAATATTTCCCTGTAATAGCCTTACCAACCTTTAACCCTCGCGTAGTTACACTAAATTGTTAAAAAGAAAATTAGAAAAGGAACAGTTCGAAAGGATTGAAGTGCTTTTTATTGCTATTAACAAGAGCTTTCTTGCTGTAAACCACGGTGCTAAACTGAGGAGAGCTCTTAAAACGAGAACCCTTTTACTTTGGTGACCCACACTACCGGCTTTGTTATGTGCAAGTAATTTATTACGTATTTATTTATAGGACTGGGCCCTTTTCACTAGAAGTAGGTTTATTTAGGCATCAAACAAAATATATACCAACGAAATATTAGACCATTTTATTAGGGTCCTGGGTATAATGTCACGTCAAGGACGGCAGGTAGCTATGTATGTATGTAGCCGTATGCTTGTGACGATTATATATTTGCATAATAAGTTAGTGTTGAAAATCTCGTGATACTTCACTCCTGATATTAACTTGAATAATAACTTTGGGGTAAACATTAAGCTTAACATACCTCGTTTGATAAAACTTCAAAATTAAATATGGCCGCCGTGTTCTAATGGCGTACCTGATACGCGCCGCGATTTCTTTGGTTTGTTTATTTATTTCATATCATGTATGTTTTAATTTAACATCGCAATATTGTGAAGAATTTAATGAAACTTGTGAATGTGCTCACGTTTATAAAATATAACCAGTTGGAGAAATCCAGGTAGCTTAAGATATTATCTATAATAACGTGTGGTCTGACAAAAGCTTTTATAATATTTCCGTGGCAGTCAAACATGCGCTATACTTAGCCTAATGAAATCCCAGCGTAGCTAACGCACAAAAGAAGTCTATATTCTGTTTGTATGTACTTATAGAAATTAACCCGAGTCAGAACAGAATCAGAAGCGAGCGTAGGCGTCAATCGATCCGCGCAACAAGTGAGACGGGCTCAGCAAGCCACTGCGTCTGGTACAGATTATCTTACCCTCGGAAATATGAAGAGAATTGAAAATCGAGGATAGCAATGTGATAGACCGATAACACAAAAAAGGTTTTTGGTATTTCTATCTTCGAACTGGAATTACTTTTAGAGTGCCATTAACAACGAAATAAAAATAAAAGTATGTACCTACTCACATTAATAAGCGACAAAAACTGAAATTTGCTCAATTTTAAATCGTTTATTTTAATTGGTCGTTGATTTTAAGATAAATCACTAAACTATCAGCGAAAGATTACGCATTAGTAAGATTTATTTAAATCGTTGATTAACCTTACGTGATGGCTGCCCACGCTACTATGCAAACAAAATTTCAGTCCCATAAACCTTTATTTATAAATAACAAGGGTTGCATACAGCCACTTGTGTTTTTAAAATATTTTACTTCTACATCAGCGTCATCTGTGACGTTTCCGATTCTCGTCATTCCTTATTACGCAGAGCATTTTATGTATGTTGTCCGTTAATATTTGGGACAGTGTGACCTTCTTCTTATAATAAACAACCTTTCACTGCCATAAGTAATGAAATAACGTCCGCCTGTCATTTCTGAGTACAATACTTTTGCCTTCAGATACTTGAGTATTTGGGACAAGTGCGGGCAGCTCTTGTACCTGCTTAGTTGGATTCCACGATTGCCACTTGTTAGAATTTGTCACAGAATTCAATGGTAGGTAATATTGGAAAAATGGAAAATGTAGATCCAAAAGTAAATGTGCAAACACAGGATTATTTACAATTGGAAAATTGAATCGGAATTCTGAATTTAACAGCGTTCACGTTCACAGAACATGGACTCGAAGCAGAAATGAACTGTAAAAGCTTTCACGTTTTCGCAGAAAAGCATTAATACGAAAATGGTTGTTAGTTTTGCGAACTTTCAGCCTATATATTGAACAAAGAGCTAGGTAGGTAGGTACGTAGCTAGCCAATAGGCACCAACTGAGGACCTGACGAAGCGGTGGCAAAAGACAAGATTAAATAAAAGCCAAGCTAAAATTTAAAAACAGTACCGCTGTTTCAATTACAGTTATATGAAGTCCCGCCCATATGTACATATGGGCGGGACTTCATATAACTGTAGGTGTGTGTAGGTGTGTATAACCTAGGTTCGTATCTGGTGTTGTTCACACGCCATAAATGTCGTCGGCCTATCTGACTTGATTTAAAGCTCTTTTCGTCGGTAAATATGACGCGTGAAAAATCAAAGTCCCTGTAATCTCGAGCGAATCGGACACGAGCTGTTTTATGGGCTTCAGTGAGTAAAATCTTTTTCGCTGGTTTTCTATTCCTTATTCCCGCACGCCGTAGACCATTCCTAATGGTTTGAGCTGTGCAGTCAAACTCCTCGGCAAATAGGCGAGTAGGCGTGAATGGATGCTGCTCATAAACTGAGACCATACGCTGCACACGTTCCTGTGTGAGTATGCTCGGTTGCGGCATACGTGGCATCCTTTCTAGACTCCCCTCGCTGTCGAATCGGCGAAGCCATAATTTCACCGTATTTCGCTGAAATGAAAAAAAAAAACATTTTATGGCTCAATGTTTAAGGAATCTAATCTAAGAGTTCATACAAAAAATTAACACAAACTGAAAAAAAAAAATAAGTAAGTCATTTCATAATTACTGGATATAAAAATATTAAACATTAATTTACTTTTACAAGGATAAATGGACCGTTCATAAAAGCTGTGTTGTCTTATCCACTCAGCTAGGGGAAGTTTTGAGACCCTTTCTAAAAATTGTGAAGTGCATAGATATTGAGCAAATAATTTATAATAAATAATACTCACCGACATATTCAATTCTCTCGATATTTCTGATATATTTAACCCAGAATCTCTTAGATTGATTATGCTACTCCGTTCCACAACTGATAGATTTCTGTGTTGGCTCATAATGAAGAATTACTTTCTCACTCAAAATAAAAAAAAACGTTGTTGGTGTAAGACTCACAAGTTGCAACTGAAGTAACAAAATTATCAAAAACTGACTTAACCTCGCAAGTCATAAAATTGGGTAAACAAAAAGGTGGCCCATTAGTAAAAAATGGACCTTTCTCTGTAATTGGTCAAATAGAAAAGGGGCGGATCGCCATGTGGTCATCTCATGCAAGCAAAAATTTTTCATAATTGGTCAACCATGGCCTTTGGCGATTGTACATGGAAAGGGTTGTTCTGCGGTTACATAATATGTATTTAAATAGCTCTGCTTAACCGACGTGCTACGAAAATTCTAAAATCCAAAATTAGTTTAGAAGTAAGTAGTGTTGAACGTGTTAGTGCATACAAATTAGACAGAATTTTCCATTTCAGAATACGAGTTAGTTTCACTCAACTGTTGCTTTAAATAATGACCCTATTAATGATGAATATCGCGTTTGTCGCACAGGATGACCCTAAACTACCTACAGGCATTAATCAAGCTTTAATTATACCAGACCCTTCACGTTTACAAGACGGAAATTTTCTCAGCAAGGGTACTCCTTAATCTACTCCTCACGTACCTGTTTGCTTTCCCTATCTCGATATATACATTACTTGTTGATTTTATCTAAATTAAGCGAAGAAACCTTAATAATTTAGATAGGTTAGGGTTATGTTTCAAAAGTTTAATATTAATTTAATATTTTCTACTAATAAAAAAACATTACACACTGAAAGTTACCCTTGATCTTAAATAATATAATTTTAATTTATAAGTAAAACCTCCCTAGTAGAATTGTTGTGTTCATCCTTAACACATATGTCCATAGCACAGTATAACAATACAAAGCTTTGTTTGTATTTGCATTTTGTTAGAGGTAACCACAAGTCAGATAGCTAGGATTTACGGTAGACACAGTCAAAAGTAACATTGCATTCAGAAACAACATTGAAATTCAATAATAAATCACGGCAGCAGCGCGGACGGTCGTGACTTCCAAACGGTTAGCATTGAACATTCAAACAAAAGACGGGCTCTAGCTAAAGTTTCGCACAAAACCCCATCTGGGGCTCGCAAACAACTGGGACAATGCAATTCTGCCGCAAATTAAATCGAGCCACACGCGCCCGCGGTTACACATACATCGGCACTAATTTGCCCTCGCACAATTTATTGCTCCCACGTGCCTTTTTATTCCGTTAAATTGAAACATACGTTTTGATTTGCACCCTAATTCGACACGCGAACATCACCTAACGTGTTTATCAACTTGTTTATTGAATGTACAAAATATGTTACATTCAGTTCAGGAATAACAAACCGTACTGGGGAGCACTAGTTAATCCTCTTTAGAACGGGACCGTTGAGCTGTGGAACAAATTAATTGAAATCCATCTGTCTATTCATGCAAAACTGCATTTCAGCGATTCCTAGATCAAATTACTGCGCACTGAAAATGACTACTGAAATTTGAACTAATTTTACAGACACTACTATAAAAACATCGTAATTACTTACTACTTAATTAATTCTGTAATTTGAGATTCCTTCATATTTTGTTATTTGAACATGACACCTTTTTGCCACTAAGTTGCTTGGAGTTTATTATTTGTAATTACCTAATATTTACTTCCACTCCCATGTTGTTATGCCTGAAAAAATACTTCACCTTCTTTTGTTTAAATGCTATTTCTATTTTCACAGGTATGCGTATCTTGGTGATGCTTCTATTGGACACGTTACCCATGTTAGGAAACGTTTTGCTGTTATGTTTCTTCGTATTCTTCATATTCGGTATCGTGGGCGTACAACTATGGGAAGGAATTCTGAGACAACGATGCGAATTCGTCCCTCCACCAAATGTAATACGACCCAAGTAAGTATCTCTCATTTACTTAAACAACCATGGTGCAGTAATGAGACCAGTTGTAACTCCAATCTCCTACTGTCAACCTGGTACCTTTAACATAAGCTCTTAGCAGTAAGCGTTTATTTGTATTGAATTATTATTATATACCCGAATTTGTAATGACGCAGCATACTGAGTGGCAATGTTTGAACTTTGTGAATGAAATTGCAGTTGAAATGACTTTTTCATTTGTTCCATTTGCTCGAGAGCGCTCGTCTTAGCGGCACGTCCCATTGCTAATGTTGACTGCATGCAATATTTAATGCTTACATCCTCGGCGAGCACACCCATCGCTGCTCTCTATATCATTTTGACGTTTTGTATTTTGTCATTGCATATTGTTTTTTCATTGTTACTAACATTATAACTAACGCGCATGTTAAGATATTTAGCTTACAACCGAATTACTTACAACACACTTAAATATTGCATTCTGTCAACACTCACATTATAAGTAAAATGTAACTGAATACACAAACAGATCGAACCATTCGACGATGTAGTAATACATGTCAATACCCCTTCCACTCTCGGTATTCCATTCATACTTATGTATTATAATTACATAATCGCTACATTCAATGGTTCTAAACATACCAACCCAGACATAGTACAATGTAGAAATAACCGTCATAGCAAACATGAACCAATAATAGCCGTTCATAGTGAATACTTAACAAAACATCTATATTTAGTACAAATAGTTACAACCAAGATTGAACTAACAATGTGGTTCCATGTAAAACGATATTATTTTAGCAAGATGGCGTTTAATTAAATTGGCGTGTATGAAAGCACATTGTTGGGATCTATAACCTTACAGACGTTTAGAAGTAAACTTAGGTACATAACACCCGTCACCGTACCTCATTTATGTTCCAGAGACCTGTCCGATTGGTACAGAGTGCGCGTCAGAGTGAACTCGTAAGGATTTGCGATCAAAATTAATGTGTTTCTATTAAGAACATTGCGAACTGTTGTTACGTGTACCTTCACACATCTGCCGTCCAGATGTGCTATCGTATCTGCTTCCCCTTCACGAATTGGCAGTTTCGATGAGACACTAGGTCTCTCATTACTTGTCGCTATCTAAACAATATCACACATCATTTCCGAATCTATTATGAACTGCCGATTTGTTTCTGATCCAATTAAATGGCTAGTTCTGTCAACTTCTCTGAAACATACAAAACTCTGTTTCCTTTATTTATGATTTCGCAATATAATTTTCAAGGACAATACTTAATTTTATATGTAAATACATTCTATATCTCTTACGATGACTGCCAAAATATATTTACAGAAACTTCTTCATCTACATACAGATGAAATACAAACAACTAACTTACACATCAACTTCACATTATTTCATAATTCATTTAATAACAAAGTCAATGTTTTAAATGATTATAACCTGCTCAGCTTTATTTTAGCTATCGTTGTATTGCCCCATAACATTATTTTTTTAAATCCTGAAACAAAATAACATTAAACTGTTATTCCTTTAAGAAATGCAGTGTTGGAAAAGCTTTGTACGTTGGGTCGTTAAACCGATAAAAGTTTAGAAGTATCCACAATACATTATAGTTGAAAGTTGGCGACCACAATAAAAGCCTTATAGCTATCATCAAGAACAAACCCCGTAACGACCGGGTGCCAAATGATGTGGGTTACAGCCAGTGCTCGTGTTTCTATGTACCTTCTGTCGTTAAACCATAATGACCCAAAGGCTACTGACGTTAATCTGCCCCGCCGATACTCGCCAGACTTTCCCCCGCCGTCTTTACAAGCGCAGCCATTACCATTAATTGGGACTGCTATTGATCCTCAACTCCTTTCTATGCTTTCAAACTCGCATGGTGTCTGCATGCATCGTTTGTTCGTTGTATCTAATAGTAAATGTTTCTCCATCTGCATGGATATTAGATGTAGTGAATCCGATATCTGTGTTTCCCTGTTTAAATATACTTATACCTACAGACCAGTTTTTGAATGTCAGAATTTTAATACCTAATTTAGAAAGTAGCTATCAACTAATATGCAACCAAATCAGTGTTTTTAAAAATTATTTGGAAAAACATAGATTAATTATTCCAAATATTAACTCACTAACTCAGTTAGAAGCATATAGCATTTTCATTTCGCATAATTAACTAATAACCGTTATCATTGTCGTTTTCATATTAGATGATTCAAACAAATACAGTCAAATCAAATTCAAACTTAACATTACTATAACACACATTCAAAATCGGTTCAATGTATAAAACTATGAATGAAAAACAAATAAGAACACATTCAAAAATCTTTATTCGTCTTGCAGTATATCATTCTACTACGAGTTCTCAAAGGAGTTGGACTACATTTGCACGACACCCGAAGACAATGGCATGCACACATGCGGCAACTTCCCTCCATATAGATACGGAGCTCTTGTGTGCAACGAGACTGCCAAGCCTTTCTCGTACAATCGACCCACAAATACGTCTTGTGTCAATTGGAATCAGTATTACACTAACTGTACTCAAAGAGGAAATAACCCCTTTCAGGGGACAATTTCGTTCGACAACATTGGTCTCGCCTGGGTCGCCATTTTCTTGGTAAGACAACCTATTTGGAAAATGTTTTACTACCGTTTTATTGGAGCAAGGGATAGAATGATAGTGTTTTTTTTTCTTTTTTAGGTGATTTCACTTGAGGGTTGGACGGACATTATGTATTATGTGCAAGACGCACATAGTTTCTGGGATTGGATTTACTTCGTGTTGCTAATTGTGGTTGGTAACTTTATTTTTATCTAGTGCACATAAATATAAACTAAACGTGTTTTCTAATGCCATGCCCAATCGAATATGAATGAAAACGGTCATAAATAAATTTCCCTCAAAAAATGAAAGTAAAACAAAAACGTTACGACCGTAACAATAACATTAGTTTGACAAAAACTGAAGCGATCAGTCATCTTCGGTATAACGTTCCCATTATCTCATAAACACATATTTGTCTTATAGATCGGATCGTTTTTCATGATCAACCTCTGCCTAGTCGTAATAGCGACACAGTTCAGTGAGACGAAAAAACGCGAGATGGAACGAATGAGGGCCGAACGTGCCCGATTCACGTCAACATCAACGCTTGCGTCATCAACGAACAACAGCGAGCCTGCTACATGTTACGCTGAAATTGTCAAATACGTTGCACATTTGTGGAGGCGATTTAAAAGAAGAATGGCAAAGAAGATCAGGTTAGTAAGAATTAGTAAGATGTGATGGTGTGTCTACAAAAGTAACACTTATTATAACATCATCAACAAATAAACCACACTATATGTATTATATGTAGCATGTAGCCCAACGAGATCCTAATTAATGGTATCATTTTAATTTATACAGTTATGTGCATGTTAGTAGCAACAAACAGATACGAATCAACAAACAAATTCAACAATTAAACAACCCTTTTAAATACAGAACTGCATAAACGAGTACATAAACCACTTCAATATCACTTCCCTATTCGCAATCTATTTCAGATGTATCGCAAATGCTCTCTCAAGTCCGTAAATTATAGTCAGTATTTCCTTTCCTAGAACTAAAATATTTATACAAATGCCTGGTATTAACAATGCAAATACCGATGAACGGCGATGTTCCTTGCGAATGGCTAGGATACGCGTTATAAATACTTACTCACAATAAAAGTTATTGCAATACTCCGTAATGTAATATTGTTCTTGCATTTATTGTATTTGCTTTAGTAATATTTTTGAAAACGAAGCTTCTATTTCTATTTTTGTCTGTAAATCTATTGTGTATTTCATATTTGTACAGGGTGTATCGATATCAACGTGCTCAATTGCGATGGCGGACCAGCAGAGAAACGCTTCAGTTACCTGCGAATAAACCAAAGCAGCATCATCCTTGCTGTCCACGAGTACATCCTCAGGTACTAAGTTCAGATGAAAACTCTTACAATAACACTTTTTGAGTTTATTTTCTTTTAATCTGACCTAACATAACCCATTATTTTTCAATTCTATTTTGGTACATAGTTCATCAGCTCATTATAAAATTCAAGATTACTTTGAAAATCCAAACGAAGCGGTGGTAATAAATTTCGAAATCATAACTCAAGTTTCCGTGCATCCCGCACTGTCTTAAGAAGCAGGGCTTATAATAAAATATTCGTGGAGTCTTACAAAGCCGCTTTCGTGTCGAGGGCATGTATTGTTCGACTCAGCGTCATTATGACGCTTCCACATGTTAAGCTTTAACGACATTTGAGACACACAAACATGGCCTACATAATATTCGAAACAATGGCATTATCAGGAATGTCAGAACATGTCGGATGCGTTAATTAAATTTAATATTTGATTCATTACTGAACACAATGTCTTTGTTTTTTTTTTTATTGCGTTGTGCTGAGTGTTATTGTTAATATCTAAAGAATGCAATAATTCTAGCTAATGTCGTTATATATTGGCCTTATTAAGCCTTATATGGCCAATTTATGTATTATATTAGAAATTGCTAATAAAATTATATTAAAAATACGTAACCGCTTCTCGATATATAATTTACATGATAAAACTAAACAAAAGAGATACTCAAAAGCTATGACCTTAACTAAATTCGAAGTTCGAATACATTTTCGAGTCAAAAATGTCATAAATAATTCATGTACTTTAAAGTCTTGGCACTTTCGCCATTAGTTTACTTTTTATTTTACAAAATATTTTATGTTTCGACATTCGTAGCACTCTGCTACGAAGTTGCTACGAGATTTTTTTACCTTTTAAAACAACCTTTTTAATCGTGATTGAACAGTATTTACATTAATTATTGTGTTGCAAAAACTGTTGAAGAAAAACACACAATAAGAAAAACAATATCAGTATGTAATTCTTAACTATTTAAAAATTTTATACAGCATCCAACGTTTCATAACTATATTTATTAGTTGTGTTATACCATAATTATTAAATCAGTTGTTTCTGCCATCGCCATCTTTTATATTATGTTATGCCATACTGTTAAGTGTCTTTCAATATTTTTTTCCATCCTAATACTTAACTTTCGATTTCATAATATAAGGAATGCAAAGATTCCAAATAAACGTTTTATTCTCTTAAAATTCTTGTCATTTCATTTTACCCATTTCATTTACATTTAACAGGGTAATGGGGGTAAGAGCGTGAGTGAGGAAGGTAGCGGCGGCACGGGGCCCGAGGAGCCTCTCAGCCGACCGAGCCTGTTGCGCGTGCCCTCATTGTCAGCCGCCGACCTTGAGGTAATACCAAAATTACTGTGTTTAATTTATGTTCCTTCTTTTGTTCTACAACCAGGTGACATACAATGTTCTCGGTTCAAAATAATAACAATGAAGTTGTATAATTGACACTGTTTTTATCTTACGACCAAATTGGAATATGAGCAGACGAAAAGTAAAAAAAAACATTTAGTTAACCAAGTTAAGCATCAAATACAAACAACATATAGACAACTCCAATAATTTAGGCAGCTTGTTAATAAAAAAATCTATTTACTGCAAAAAACGGACTTAACCATTATTTTTATCAGCCTGTCCCTATCATTTTAACCTATGATACGGGTAGAAATGTGAAAGCGATTTACTAAAATGATCATACTTGATTGTAAAGACCCGTTTGGACGACCCCGCCTGTTGCGCGCACCCTCGCACTTCATTACTGATCTCAAAGAGAAACCAAAAGGTTTATTAAATGTTTATATTCGTTCAATGTTTATTATAAAAGACGTCTTATTATATATCCTTTTTGCAAAATTTTGGTACACGTGTTTTCTTAAGTTTGAAGTCGTAATTTTTACTAGTACTTATTTAAGTTTTGATTATTATATAAAAGCCTATTGGCTTCTGAAGAAATAATCGAATGTTTCCAAATTATATTATGCAATAATTCGGATACGTGTTGGTGTAGGTTTTCATTGGCTTGACAAAGCTTTAGCAATGCAAACACGTAAAAATAATACTGTTAACACAGAATGCATCAAACCTGTCACTTCTGTCTCCACCATCCCTGGCTCGTCGAAGGTCATCAGTGATGTTCAGCGACACTGTGTTACTTCATACACCGACCGCCCCGCACGGAGCACATCCACACAACGTTTGCTCGTCTGAAAAAATGACCCAAACAGGTAAATTATGATAACCACTCCTATATGAAATTCATGATTTAAAGAATAGTTCTTCACAATTTTTTTGACAGGTGTAAATAGAAATTAAGTGTTATCGACTACACCCTATGTATTTAACTGCTTATATACGCAAACAATATGTAATTTATTTTCATTAAATTGCTCTTGTATAAAAATCTATCTACTTAAAAAATGATATTTCATCAGTAACAATATCATCAGTATTATAGATCGTTGAAATTCAAACAACGGCCTTAAAATGTTTCAACAATACTTTTACAAACGTGAAAGCACCCTCCAACGCTAGTAAGAAATAGTAGCTACTTACTTTACCTGTTGCCTGTTGTACACACTAGAAAGTTTCCCCATCTCACTGCGAACAAATTCTAACTTGTGAATATACAACAAAACACTGTACATTCAATAGTGTTAAACCTTTTAACAATTCCGATGAATATTTGTAGATTCATTGTGTCAGCGTGACTGGCTTAAGAGCCAAAGTGGTGAGTCTAGGAGACGGTAGATCTAGACGACGCTATTAGACGGGCATGTGCAATGCAATCTCTACTCAGTTTCTTGCTTCTCCTTCCTCTACTTCTTCATAGAAATACCTAAGGACTAGGAACTAAATGAACTCCAAACATTTCTACGTTTGATATTCGCTTCTCCCCTTCTCAGCATAGGTCTAGCCTCCTACACTTTTGAGACCTCATTTACATACGAAAATCTTTAATCTTCCTTGAGTTATCTATTTTACCTCGAAAACATCTTGTTATATTCCTTTGAGATACCTAAATCATTTCTTAGAAAATTTTTCTTGAGCTTAATGGCCGACCTGAGACTTGCGTAGAAACTATACATATTTAATAGTACTGAACTGATTAGGACGAAATTGTGGGACGGGTTGTGGTCGAGGGAAATTCATATTTTTATGAACTTACATATTATTCAGGAGCCGAAATAAATTAGTTACCTCTCAACTTTCCATTTGCGGGTTCGTGATTTAGTAAGTCGCCATTAATTATTTATGACATTGATATATTTAATGATAAAACAAGATGTTTTCGAGTGACTAGAAGTGTGTGTGTGTCTTAGTCAGTGTGCTGTAGTGTCACTTATTTGGGGGCGTAGAATTCGACCTGCCGACAGGCGACACGGCGGAGGATCGCGCGGCTGCGGGCGGCACCATGTCCTGTCAGGAACTACTGGCACTGTCCGGCGCCCTCTCTGCCGCCCTGCCTACTGGACAAGTGGCTCTGGATTCCTTCTTTGAAGAACTCACTAAAGGTATCAGCAAGAGAGCCGGTGAAGAGAAAATTGATACAAGGGTATGTAATGCTTAGAGTAAACGTCTATATTACACTGAATATTAAAAAGAAATTTAGTTCAGAAGTAATGTATTAATCTCCTGGAAATTACAAAAACAAATCAATTTACCGAATCGAAATAATTCATTGTCTTATCTTATTATATATACCTAGTCTCGTTTGCCAGCTTCAACAAATAATACATCAATTACGTCCGCAGCATTCCTCAATGTACGTGAAACTAAATTAATTAAAGTAAAACTTGCACAATTTATAACCTGGCCACGATGTATCTGTCATCGTAAAGTCTTCATTGGAAAATTTAATAGCAACTGGTACAAAGTTATATTTCATTTGCGTGAGTTTGAAGTAAAGACTTATTTTACGATGATTAATTGAAATATGAATTGGTTTATATTTTACTTTCAAAGATTAATAATAGTGCACATTTTTTCAATCATACCCGATTTTATAAGTGATTTACATTATATAAATAAAATAAAAATCATTTAATCAGGTTCGTAACCCATGTAAAAAGTTTACAGTTTTTTCAGGAATACACAGCTTACACTACATCATAATGTCAGAATTACATTCAAAATCATTTTATAGATTCTTTGCACTTCACTTAAGCAATTGTAACATTTTTATTTAGTAGTAAGTGAACCTGTCAGCCAATACGTCTTCACTGATAAATACACAAAACAATTGAAATATTAAATTTCAATGTCAAACAACTAACTATACTACATAAAAACTTCTTCCATCTTGTTTATCGATTAGATCGTGGAAATAGACGACTTCTCGTGCTGCGCGGAACTGTTGGCGGCCGAGGCAGCTGCCAAGGAAACCCGCAAGAGTCGCATCAGTAACATATGCTCCAAATTCTGGAACAGAATATCTAAAGCGTTGTCTATACTGAGAAAGAAGATCAAATTCATTGCCGACCACAAATACTTTCAACAGGGTGAGTAGTACCTTGATGCTATTCTCGAAAATATGTAAAATTAGTTCTAAACGTCATTTCCAAAAAAAGTCCAAACCATTCAAAAACTTACCAAAACCTTTTTCTTTATTGACACAATCATTTAGGATTTATTTATCAAAGCATGAAAAGCCGTACTCACAGTCAATTAATGGTCTTCAAAGGTCACTTAAATCAGTCTTTAGTAACAGTTATCTGAACATCATCCTTAATAAGGATCATCCTTATCTTAAAATTGGAGTGAGTCAAGTAACCATTAAAAATACTAGTAAGACAGTTATTTCATTGTAAGCGTCTGTTTAAACGTGTACTAGATGTCTGACAGCTGTAATTTTCAGGTATATTGTTGGCGATCCTGATCAATACGCTATCAATGGGTATTGAGTATCACAATCAACCGGAGGAGCTCACAGTGATCGTAGAGATCAGTAACATTGTATTCTCCGCAATATTCGCTGTGGAGATGCTTCTAAAGATTATAGCTGAAGGTCCATTCAAGTATATATCCAACGGATTCAACGTATTCGACGGCATTATTGTTATACTCAGGTAAAATATAGATTCCAATAAAACTAGTTTTAAAATTATGTTACGACTTTAAGAAATTAATTGTAAAATCATTTCATTCATTCTCTACTCCACAAATACAAAAAAACGTAAAGAAGCTCTTAAAATATTGTACGTGGCACTTTAATCCTTTATAACAAATAAAATATCAAAGAAAAATACTGTATTCACATGAGAGTAGATACGAACCGAACGAGTATTAAAACAAAGCGTACCACCCGTACTACCAAATTACATGGATTAAAGTAAAGCCATATGAAAAATTCAATACGATCCGCTTTTAGATATTGTTTCTTTGTTATTTATTACAATCTGTTTGAAATATTCAATGGACTTTGCATAGCTAATCGTATTGTTTATTAAATTACCAACAATACTTGTTTGCACCTGGTTCTACATTATAATTTAAGTCCTGTCCTCGAAGGTTTAAAGGACAATGAGAAATATTGGCCTCGATGCCTCTGTGGCCCCACTCAGGGGTGTCCGTAATTGACTATTTGTGGTTTTGAACCCAAGCGCCGATGTGCGAGTAATATAATGGTGATTCACCCCTGCTACAAGTACATTTAGCTTCGTGAGGCACGAACAAAGATAAATCACTTAATTCAGTTTACTTGAATTTAGAAAACAACAGGTCTAACTCCTTGTTATTTAATAAATATAAATTGTTTTGTTGTGGTGACTTACGTATACATTATTTAGATAAAATATAACTTCAAATGAAACAAAAAATAAAATAAAAAGAACTTTAAATAATTCAAGATTAAATTTTATTTATGAAATTTTTGTTTATTTGGCATTATTATTTATTATTTATTTATATTTGGCAGTGCATTTGAACTGGCACATAGCGTTGGGCAAGAAAAAGACATGGCTGGTAATTCAGGACTTTCTGTCCTCCGTACATTTCGTCTGTTGCGCATACTAAAGCTAGTCCGGTTCATGCCCAACCTGCGCCGGCAACTGTTCGTCATGCTCCGCACCATGGACAACGTCGCCGTCTTCTTCTCGCTACTAGTACTATTTATCTTCATATTCAGGTAAATATCACAATTTTAATATATATCTTAGTTCAAACCACGGAGACAGATCAGGTTTTGTAAAATGAACCTTAAAGTAAAGGTAACATAAACGAAACTATAAAAATAAAATGCATGAAATTAAACAGAATATTAAAAAAGTTAGGTTCTTATTTTGAGTTATATTGTTTTCGTTTCTTTGAAACTGTTATTTATCAGTTTTCTGACAAAACTTTCCTTCTAAATTATTTTCAAGCCTATCTGTCTTACTGATATAGGTACTTATTATTATTCACAAAATCTGGTATAACAGTTTCTTAAATTTATGTTTTATTTTTGCTTTACTTGGTCTAAATGGATATTCAAATTTAGTGTCTCACTACGGTCTTACTTAATAGGCGTTATGTAAATATCTGTCTACAAACCTGACCTTCAAAATTCAACTCTTTATTTTTAAGTAAACTCAATATTCCTTTTTCACACCTGTATCGTAGTGAACTAGTAGTCAAACATCACAGCCCCCAGCAATCACTCATTGATTGCTCAATCAGATTTTTCATTTTTCCGTAGCAAAAGAAGATTTATTCGACTCTCCATAAAAATATGAAATTCTGAATGTTTCTACTTAACTGTCACACCCGCATCCCTTAACCTGTGCACTAACTGTGAGTGATTTCTCCTTTTTCTTTTCAATCTTATCCTTATGTGTCGACCACCTCTGTCTCTGACATTCCACCCACTACACACTGCCACTATCCACACTCTTTACAACTTTTTCTCTTCTACTATTTATATCTTATCAGTCATAGTGAGTTCACGCTTTTGTGCTTCTCGTCCACTTCAGTTCTATTACACCTGCACTTGATCACTCATCTTCTTAGCATATACCAAACCCCATATTTATGTATGTTTACTATATTATTATATATCCTTTATAATTTTGTATATATGTATTCTCCCTCCTTGTGTGTGGAAAGGATTATAGTAACCGTAATATTATCTAATCGCATATTGCGTGGTAACGTTCAGCATCCTCGGTATGAACCTCTTCGGGTGCAAATTCTGCGAGAAAGACAAGCATGGCGATCAAGTGTGCGACAGAAAAAACTTTGATACGCTCTTGTGGGCCTTTGTCACGGTGTTTCAGGTATTCAACATTTTAAATTAAAATACCTAACAGACAACCCAGAAACAGACTGAACTTGCAACATTTACTAAACGCTTACCCACGGGTCCGTCAGCAGCCAACACTCATGACCGTAGGACAAACCCGAATAACAGAAGGTTGTCTTGTCACGGCTAATCGACTAACCACGAGAGTACACAAACGACCATTCACTCTGCTGCAAGAGACGATCTCCACGCCCCCACATAACTGTACAGTAATCAAGTAACACTCGCGCAGGGATGAGCTTGCAGCACAGTGCGGCGTCAAACAAGCGTTCAGTCGCGTAACCGCTACCCTAGTACCCGCGTAGTGAGATCTAGTACCATTCGTAACAGATTGATTCAACATCATCTAGTGTCACGTTCACCATGTTGTTCGTACAGTACTCCCATCAGAAGTTGTCCAGAGCACATTTAACTTAGTCAGAGAGCTTGGTTGAGTAGTAGGTTAGCTTGAGGTCGTTCGAAGCCGAGTCGTGGGTTAACCTGTTCGTCAGTTCCTCTACTCCCACTACTACAACTGCACTCAGTTATACAGTATATCTATCACTTTGCATGCTGCTTCTATTATTTAGTTATTAATCTTGAACAGCTTGGCCCGAAATTAGTGGAAACTTTTCATAGTCATCGTCTTTGCTGTTGAACCTATAATTTACATCTTTTAAGTTTATAACAAATAAGTTTCCACAAGTTTCGTTCTGATCCCTGGCATCCTTATTTTTAACTTCAGTAACAATCAAATTTTCAATTACTTCCCCTTTTCTTAAACTCTTAACTTTCACTTATGAAATAACAGAAGCTATAGCTCCTCTCATCTAAATTTCCTTTAACTCTTTTCCATCTGCATCTCTCAGGATGAATTTATTTTTAATTTAAATAATTACTGCATTATAATTTGAATGACTTTTGCGAGTAATATAATGATACAGAATGAATGAGAATTTTCTTTGATTATGTCTTAATTATCTTTTACGCACTTTACTTTCGCCTATTTATTCCTACTCCAGATTATTTTTATTGCATTTCTATTTTTTATTATAATAATGAGGCAGTATAAAGAATGAAATATAATCTAAGTATTAAGTTTGTCGAGGAACTTAATTGCACTAAATAACACGATGTTAATGAAAGTAAATACATTATTTAGTAAATTAACATGAAATCCGTTGGTTGTAGCGTTCCAACGGCGATAACACTGCTTAACCATTTAGGCTTTTGTTTATTAATTAATTATTACATCACATCCCAGAATGAGATCATTAGGACGATTGTATGAAGTAAAACTAATTTTACGGCACGTTACCGTGTAGATACACAATTATTACTGCACTACTAATACTGATTGTGTGCATACATAATATAGAGGTCTCCTGAATATATTTCGATAGTATCGGCTCGAATCATGTCCTTCTTGTTATGGCACTAACTGCACACACTAGACCTGTAAAGCAATAACTATTCGCAGCCCGTAACATTAGTATTATTTCAGTAGTTCGTTCATGAGCGCAGGTTGCAGTGTTAACGTCTCGTACGCAACAATTAAGTCGTGAGGATGACTCGGTCGCGGCGTTTGCGCATAGCGTTTTGTTTTTCTTTCATTTTTACATCGACTCCACGACGAGCAGTATTCTGGGCATGTATCTATTCGGTGGTAAGTTTTGCAAGTTCGTCGAAGACAATGGCACCGAGCGGGATTGTACCTGCCCCGAGATCATCTCCCACCATCCCAAGTGTGAGTGCGACAGGAAACATTTTAATAACATCCTATGGGCTACCGTCACCGTGTTCCAGGTAAGCCTTGAGCGGTACGCTACACTAGGCTCAGTAATAGACGGTTTATTTGCGATCCCGTTACAATATGTTTTAGAAGATAGATGCCGCGTGTTTCTCGTAACTACCAACTCGAACTCATTGGAACTGTAAATATTTGTCTTATTTGACAACTTTTCAAAACGGTTGTGAGAAAAGACGAGTACTCAGAACACTTAACGATAAACATGAATGAACATGATTTGTATATAACTAGAATTGACACGAGCGAGAGATCCGCCGTAATTACTTAGTATTTACATTTTGATAATGCACTACAAGGAGCGCTCCGTAGCTAGTTTGCATCTTGCTTAGTAGTGAATAGTATTAGGTAATGCTGAACCCTGTATGCTTGTGTACTCAACTCGCCGTCTGTGTTCCCTTTCATTACTGTGTATTAGTGAACACTGACACAACAACAAGACACTTGTCAACACTAACACGCTGATTACTAACAAGTTTTTTTGTATTTTTTAATTTAATTTATTAACATTGAAATAACATACAGTTTTATTACACCAAAAGGCACGACTTAATACAATATGACAGCACACCTTGCTTATTTTGATTTGTTAAACAAAATCGAGTTTTAAGAATATTGATGTGGTAGAACATTTTGAGAAGTTGGGCAAAAACCTAAGTTTCCTCAAAATTTTTCAGGTTTTAACACAGGAAGACTGGAATGTCGTATTATTTAATGGCATGGAAAAGACGAGTCATTGGGCAGCTTTATATTTTGTTGCCCTCATGACATTTGGAAACTATGTGCTGTTTAACTTGTTAGTTGCTATACTCGTCGAGGGGTTCAGCTCAGAGGTAAGTTCACACAACACTTACAGACTCATTTTGGAAATTACGCTTTAATAATTCAGCAGCAGAATTGTGAGATAATAATATATTAGAAACAAACGAAGTATTCTTTGTATAACTTATAACGTAAGCACACATCTCCAACATAGAAACACCAATCAAATTCTCATGTGTAATTCAAATGTTTTAGCGAAATGAGAGAAGGGAACGCGAACAACGGGAGCTGGCAAAATCAAAATTGTCAAGCGAATGTTTCTCAGACAATAACGATTTGCACTACGACGACTCGAATTCGGGATCGCATTCCAGTGAAAGCTTTTCGCAGGTAAAGTATTCGGGATAGTATTTCATTAAGTCAACGAAAACAATGTATTCCGTTTGAAAAATTGCTGAGTATTTTTATCTTACCAAGAATTCAGCTTATTTGATGGAAAATGTTTGTCAACAGAATGAAATTAAGAACTATTGGAGGTCAGCTGATGATGTACGAAAGGCCAAAGACGATGTCAATGGACACAAAGAAAAGGCAATGAAATCACGTCGTAAAACAAAGTCGTCCCACCATCCGACACTTTGCAAGGACTGCGCCCAGTCCAATAAGTGTAATCTACAAAAGGTAAATGAAAATTTTTGCTCGTTAGTTCATCTCAATTATAGCAAATCATTTCTATCGTAGTTTTTCTTAGTTTGCAACTTATTAAAAATGTTGGTTTTGGAAAGCAGCAATACTTTATCTCATCCATACAAGTAACAAAAACTATAAAAAGATATCGGTTACTAGATAAATAATATCGACCTTATTGCAGTATTAACTACTTAATAACTACGTTGTAATTTCTTCATTTAAATCTAGACTTAAAATTTAGGGTTTTATTCATCGTAAAATGATTTATTACTTTTATAATACATTTCGATCCTAATCCTCCAAGATATCTTGTCTTGTCTCATTTATTTTATCTTGTCATTTACTTTTGGAAATTTCATTTGACTCAGCTTAGTGATCTATCACTGAAAACTCGAATCTTTCTTTGATTTTTATTTCTTGATGCTGAAGAACTTATGTCTATCTGTGCAGAAGCTGATTACTTAAGTTCTTATAAAATTTTACAAAGTGTATTAATGTGTTTCATTAATTTTAAAATACTTATCAATTGAGAAACAATTATTTTCTATCTTGTAAACTTTGTCTTAGGAGTCAAAAATGTTAGCAAGCAATGCTGGCATAACAGAATCATCAGCACTGCCGATGATTACACACACAGCTGCTACGCCACAAGATTCGCCGTCTACTACGCTGGAACCTGGAGCTTCATTCAGGGATTTTAATGTCGCTCTAAGTCTAGAAAGGTCTGCTATGCTATCCAGTTTGGACTCAATAGACCGCACTTCAGTAAGTACATTATTTAACAGTGTTTTCTAAAAATCGAGAGAAGAATCTCTTGTAAAGTCGTCATAAATAAGCTGAATAAACTAATCCATTAACTACTTATAATATATTTTTAGTGTACCAGCATACCAGGGCTGCTGAAACCACCCAACAGTTACACATTGACCCTGCACTCAGCTCAAGCTCAGCTTGGTGCAGAAAAGGCCCGCTTACCCCCACTGACGTTGGCCCCTCCCCCTCTCACTCTCGCTCCTCCTCCTCTAAGATCATCATCACCTGCGCCGACGACCCCAAGTACGCCGAGGTCAATGCCGTCTCCACTGTTACCAGAGAAAAACCTACAAATTACAATAGCAAAAGATGAAAACTGTTTGAACACAAATGATAAATCTAGTCTTCTGAGTTCACAAAAGTAAGTTTTTAGTTCCCTCAGTTATTATTGATTATATTGTCTCTGTAACGCTTTCTAATTATTTCGGTATTTGTTCTAGGAATGTAAGTGTAGTTAGTATGGCAAATGGTGAAGACAAATGTAGGGTTCAACGAGGCTATAGCTGGCGGCTATCAAGATCAAGTCTAAGGAAAAAGCCGAAACAGAGGACAGGATCTGATTCCGATGCTATTATCCTTAATAACGGCAGGGATCACGCAGTCTGCAACGGTATAAAATTATTGTTTTTTTTACGTAGTAGATACCACCTTTTTTGCCTGTATACTTTGATGTGATTTTATTTTTTATGTGCATGTTGATACTTATAGTTTTAGACAATGTAATAGGTATATTTAATAGGAGACACACATGAGAAAAAAAACTCAACAGTAGTTACTTCACAGTTAATTTTAATATAATGATGAATGATATCAGGTTCGAACATCCGCAAGAACGAGCTACTACTATCGTCGTCAATGGTGATAAAGAACGACACTCAGTCAGAGCTGCCGAACAACAGGACGCGAACACCACTACAAGGACCACGGGTTCTGCCACAGCCTATTCGACGAGTATCTGCACATAATACACCTTTACTACCTGACGTAAGATTTCTATATACTTATCCTAAATATGGTTTTAATTTAATCCAAGATATAAAAAAATATTCAACAGGAATATACATTACATGATTCATTTAAACATTTTACATGTATGACCCAATATGACTGCACGGTTGACGCAGTGGCTTGCCAACTGGCTACTGTGCAACGCGTCGCGGTCCCGATTCCCGCACGGAATAACACTTTGTGTGATCCACTAAGTGTTGCTCCGTGTCAGGGTGTGATGTGGATGTGAGTGCACTCACGACAAAAGAGGAAACCTTTATGCGGGGCAATGATTTAAACAAAGTTGGTTTGGAAATTTTGTGCTCAATCTTTCTTTATTATTCATCAGGTTTCATGGAAAGCTCCAGAAGCGGGGTTCTCATCTGATTCGACAGTTCGGCTAGACTCGGTGAAGGCTCCGCCGCACAGACTATCACTCACTAATGACTACTTGACAGGTAAGAAGGTAACCTAGTTGCCCACTTAATATTTCTACGTAATCCAGTCTTGTTTTCAAAACACTGTGGTTATTGCAATCGATTAGGGAGAACTAGGTGACTGGACATTCTGATATTTAATGCATTCCATAATCATTGCTTTTGTATCGATTGAATTTCGACGGTACGAATAGGTTAGTAGGCTTAACTATAAACGAAACTTTGTTTGACGTTGGCAGAGTTAACAAAGTTCAAACCAACAACTGAAGTGTCGGTCAAAACATTCTGATAGTTAATTGATAGGCACAGATTGAAAGACAGAATTTCAAAAACATTTATTTATCGGTATAGTTACTAATCAAAGATTGAAGGTATCTACTGGTACCTAACTAACAAATGCGCTATACTGTAAAACAAGATATTTAATTACACACCACATTTTCATAGGCAAGTTACGAGTGTCTGACTACGACTCATTGGTAACAGTGACATCGGTATCAGAAGTGAAGGCGAGCAATTTGGGACCCTCTTCACCCGTTGTACCGGTTACGCCAAGACCGGTGAGGGAACTACCAGCGTCCTCAATACCAACACGGATTAATGTCCAGCCACTGCCTCTAATGAAGCAGATCAATGAGGAAGTACGTAGCAGTAAATTTAAGGTAACAGAGATATCGGATCAAATGTGAAGACGAGGTATGAGTTCATCAAAGTAGCTTCACAAGCTATATCACCAACAGTTGCTGTTAGATCGATTACATCGTAACAACATATCGTAAGAACCATACCATTTTAACCATCATTGATAAAGCATCTAGAATCTAACAGTCAATAATCGTCTTCTCATTTAGTGAATCCATCGTTATCACGGTTAAAGGAAATTCTCTAGTCAGCTTTAAATATTTGTGGTGAACCCTCAGCTAGCTGGCTGGTTGGTTCACCGCAACCATTCAACGGAGTTTGACCTAAAACTTCCTTTTGACACCTAGCTGGATGTTATTATAAACTTTATTAATCGCTTTGTTCTGTTCGCAGCGCTTACATGGAAAACATTACATACATACATATTTGTATAATAGTGTTTGTTGTAGAATATGATATTTTTATTAGGAAAAACAATCCAACACAAAACATTACTTGCAGGTAGCCATAAACAACGTGTGTATGTTGTCATCAAGGTTCGACAGACGACGGTACAGATTCAAAGACCTTTTTCGCTTTATGGAGCCGACGGGCTGTCTCAAAGAAAAAGAATTTTACTCCCTGTACATTTTTTCGCCCGAAAACAAGTAAGATTATAGCGACCTCAATTCCTTTATTTCGCTAAAAGAATTTTAGTATTTTCGTAATGAAATAAGTACTTTTATGTCTTCGAAGCATCCCTAAATGAATCAGTCAATCATAATTTTTGTAATGTTAAGCTCAGTTTCATGCTAAAATTCATATGAAAGCAGAAAGTGCTAAAGTTAAATGTCACTAGAATTCAACATTCACTTTGAATTGTGTTGCGTTTGTTTTAGAATGCGCAGATTCTGTACATGGGTAGTAACGCGAGGTTGGTTTGACAACATAGTGTTATTGTTCATTGCCCTGAACTGCATCACGTTAGCAATGGAGCGACCCAACATTCCACCAGACTCTAAGGAGCGAGCGTTCCTATCTAGTGCCAACTACGTATTCACGGGAGTTTTCGCCGTAGAAATGTTTATCAAGGTTAGTTTCATAAATAATTAAAAGTAAAATTTATAGAACCTTGTTTTGTGTCGACTTCCATAACTAAGATGTAGTAAACTAATAATATAAATGCGAAAGTAACTCTGGCTATTTGTCTTTTCTTCACTCTACTCTCAACTCGAGACATAGTTTAGAACTCGAGAAAGGATATAGGATATTTTTAAACCAAAACATCTGCAGGAAGTCACTATTCCGCGCGAACAAAGTCACGGGCAAAAGCTAGTGAATAAATAATTTCTTTACCATTTTCTAACATAATAGAAGTATGGGAATATAAAAATATTCCCGTTACTGAATTCTAAAATTGATTACAATACTTAAACGTAAGCCATACAAATTTAATTATCATGAAACCTTTTAATGCCGAAGTACAGCATCTTATTAATATGTAACAGGTATTAAAATATGGTGTGAACAACATTTTATAATTCGTCTGCAAGAATAACAAAGTGTTCAAATAGTCACCCAGTGAATGTGCTACATTGTCGAAATGACACTACATGTGTATACATAGTAAAATAATACGTTGATAAAAAACCGTAATCTTTTAACTTTGTAATAATATATTAGTAATCTTTTAACTTTGTAATAAGTTCATAATAATATATTACCTTGCGTTTAAGTATAAGACTACGTATTATATGTATAATTTATATATTATTTTTAGTATAAAGCAACCACCATATTGGTGTCTGTCATTATTTTGTTTTGTTAACGAAACAGATAAAAATCGGATTCGGTGACCTAAAGAAAAACATTTTAAATTCCCAAACAATACAAATTGTACGAAAATTGTACAATTGACTGCGTTTTGATCTAATATTTAAACGTTATTTTTTTAAACAACACGAGATATGTAAATTGTATTTTACAAGATAACAAAACTTATAAAAGACACCAAACATTTACAAAATATTTTGATAGATCGAATATCGAATATTGTATGATAGAGAGCGGTACAAGCGAAGCATGAAACGGTTTGACTAGGAAACATGGTACGCTGTTCATGTCACGTACACTCCGATAGCTTTACCCACTTCTATCAACAGTCACTGCCATATTGTTTTTACTTTCGTAGATACATATTTACTCTAAACCTTTAAGGCAATATTTTGGAAAAAACACTTCATATGATTTTACTTCATTTTGTTAACAGAACAAAATGTAAAGAACCTAAACTCAATTTATCCTGTTTATGCTAATCAGGTAGTGGCATCAGGAATGTTTTACGGTCCGGACGCGTATTTCACGTCTGGTTGGAACATTATGGATGGATCACTGGTCATCATATCTATCATTGACTTGCTAATGTCACTAGTATCAGAATCTAGTCCTCGAATATTTGGAATTCTCAGGGTAAGATACTCGGACCTACTTATGTTTATGATTTAGTTAATAACCTAAAAATAATCTTATTGTTGATTTTATCAGGTATTTAGATTACTAAGATCACTAAGGCCACTCCGAGTTATAAACAGAGCGCCAGGATTGAAGTTAGTTGTACAAACACTTCTGTCTTCATTGAGACCTATCGGAAACATTGTGCTCATTTGTTGCACATTCTTCATAATATTTGGCATTTTGGGAGTACAGGTAAGAAAATACAAGAAAACCATTCCTTATTTAGAACTGTTATTATAAACGTAAAAATAGTTCAATATTCCGTTTATAATGTCACAAGTAACTGGCACAATTTGTATGCCTACCGTGCCGCCCTAGAGGATAACACGAGTAGCGCCTGAAGCCATTGTGTGTAATTATGCCCATAACAAGAGATAGATCGAAGCTACTTGTCCCAAGAGCAATGCAATGCAACTCACTTACATCCCAACCAACTCGATATACTTGAATGGCTTATTAAATATTAGTCGAATCTGAATCACAGTTATTTTTTTACGGATAGTAAGCAACTGTGACAACATGTAAAGCTTGTCTAATGTTTCAGCTTTTCAAAGGAGCATTTTTCTACTGCGAGGGTGCGAACATAAAGAATGTAAAAAACAAGTCCGATTGTTTGGCAATAGAAGGCAATGTTTGGGTGAACAGGAAATACAACTTCGACGATTTGGGCAAAGCGCTGATGTCATTGTTTGTACTGAGCTCTAGAGACGGATGGGTGAACATAATGTACACCGGGCTTGACGCGGTTGGGGTTGATCAACAGGTACTAATCCAACATGAAATCTAATTTCATTGTCATTTGTATACAACATACAATTTACTGTTTATTATGGCAACAAAATATAATCAAAAGATCTTAACCTTATACATTTCCAGTTACATGCTTTAATACATGTTTTGCTATTTGTTTTGAAGCATTAAATCGATTTCTAGCAACAGATGTTGGAAACGGCCCCTATCAACGCTAACGACATCGTTCTGCTCTTGAAGAATACTTAAAATAAGCTTTCAACCGAGCAATTAAAATATAAAAGCCTTTAAGGTTTCTTATATATACTACTAAATATGCGAAACACGAAACTCATTTCAAAATTATAAAATATTTTAGGCAAGATATAGGTATTTATTCATTTTTATTTATTTTTTCTGCTCACAGCCAATAGTAAACTATTCAGAATGGCGGCTCCTATACTTCATTGCGTTCATACTGTTAGTTGGATTCTTCGTGCTGAACATGTTCGTCGGAGTTGTAGTAGAGAATTTCCATAGATGTCGCGAGGAACAAGAAAAGGAAGAGAGGGTTAGAAGAGCCGCCAAAAGAGCACTACAGATGGAGAAAAAACGAAGAAGTTAGTATAGCGCCAACCTTATTTTGTCTGTCTAACACATAAACAAAACATATAACAACACGAGCCATATAAGTAAATACACAGTCGTATAATGTTTGTTAATGCTATATTTTGTTTCAGAGATGCACATGCGACCATATTATGCAGACTATTCACAAACCCGATTATTCGTCCACAACGTAGTAACATCTAAATATTTCGACCTGGCCATAGCCGGTGTCATCGGCTTAAATGTCGTTACAATGGCAATAGAATACTACAGAATGCCGCCAGCTCTGCAATATGCACTTAAAATATTTAATTACTTCTTCACTGCTGTGTTTATTTTAGAAGCAATTATGAAACTTGTGGCTTTAGGTTTCAAAATATATTTAAAAGACAAATGGAATCAACTAGACGTAATCATCGTCATCCTATCTATAGTGGGTATAGTTTTAGAAGAATTAGAAACTAATATAATTCCAATAAATCCGACTATAATGAGAGTAATGAGGGTGTTGAGGATAGCCAGGGTACTTAAGTTACTTAAGATGGCGAAGGGGATAAGAGCATTGTTGGACACTGTGATGCAGGCCTTACCGCAAGTTGGTAACTTGGGGCTTCTATTCTTTCTTCTATTTTTCATATTCGCTGCGCTTGGTGTTGAGCTCTTCGGAAGGTTGGAATGTTCTGATGAAATTCCTTGTCAAGGTATAATTAAATATCTTACAACACATTCTTAAATAAATTGTATTTGCCTACAATAAATATTAATTCGTTTTAACTCTGCAGGGCTAGGAGAACATGCCCACTTCGCCAACTTTGGCATGGCCTTCCTAACATTGTTCCGCGTGGCAACCGGAGACAACTGGAACGGTATCATGAAGGACACTTTAAGAGAAGATTGCGATAGTTCTGTCGACTGCGTCAGAAACTGTTGTGTGTCTACAATCATAGCACCAATCTTCTTCGTGGTATTCGTGCTAATGGCACAGTTTGTACTCGTCAATGTAGTTGTCGCTGTAAGTATTTTAAATAAAAGTGTTTGAAATAGTAGGTAAAGATATTTGTGCAAATTTCAATCAATTTTAAATAACCATTTCACAGGTATTGATGAAACACCTAGAAGAATCTCATAAACAGATGGAAGATGAAAATGACATGGACGTAGAACTCGAGCGGGAGTTAGAACGGGAGGCAGATGATGAGGAAGACAGAGCTCTCTGCCGCGCTCTAGAACAATGTATGAGCCCACCACGGCCCCTAAACAAGGTACCATCTCTCCCAGCAAACTTCACGTACAGCGAGCCCAAGCAACCAGCACCGTCCCCCGCACGTCGCCGGCGCACGCTGCACTCGCACACTGCTTTGTTACCGATGGCACTACCACCGAGACGAGCGTCCTTATCCCCTCACGCCTTCGGGCGACGCCGACAGGACTCGAGTTCCGAGCCACCCGCTGCGCTCTATGAAGAAGATGCTCGATTCATCGACGCAGACGATGCCGACCAGTTAGAGCCCGGCAGCCCACCCCGGCGGGACTCCTTTGCTCAGAACAGGAGACAGCGTGTAGACAAAAGAAACTCCCTGCGTGGCGAAGAAACACGCTTGCTACGACCAGTATTACTTGCCGTGCCATCTACAAGGCAGAGTCTAAGACTGAGCGGGCCCAAAAGGAGATTATCTACTGAATCAGCCGCAACGGATGCCAGCAATACGTCACGCTCCCAACATCAACTTACGCCAGAGTCGGCTGACCAACCAATCAGTGAGGAGGAGAAGATAAGAATAGTGATAGCCGAGAGGCGAAAGATGGACGCGACGAGACCAGAACCGGATGAAGACGTGGAACTAGCAGAGCGAGGCTCCTAGTCCAGGCGGGGCCGGCCGCAGCAACACCATGAAGTCTACATCTAGATATCCTGTGTCTCTTCCTCGACTTCCTCTCGTCTATAAGTGTTGAATGCTCAAGGACAGTGAATGCTTGAACTCGGTTGCACCAACAGTGTTTACAGTGACAATTTTATGAACTAATCTTGACTTTGGTGCGTTTCAGTGTTGTGTTGCGTTGTCGATATTAACGAAAGATGGATATTGCCTGTTCAGAACAGAACTTCTCCTACGTTTTCTTTCCCACATCCGACCTAACCCTCACTTCACCATTTGCGGCCGGTTCAATTACTTCATAAAGAGACTTTAATAAATTTAGTGTAAGGTGTATAAAAGATGTAGATAGGAGTTAGAACTAGTCAATTTGTTGTGGTGGGATGTTTTCTACGAGAGCTAAAATTTAATTTGTAATTTTATTATTAGTACGGTGCTTGCTGTTAAAGGTTAATTCGTTATTATTATTAAATTCTATAAGATTTTCCAAAATAAACCTCAACGAAATATTGGTTCGTAGACAAATAGTTTCAGTTTATCATGAAGCCACAAACTTGTTTAAAGTTTTGTGTGCAATTAAATATTAGACTTTACTTAAGAACGGGTTTCAAATCATTGAATTTTTAGTGTTATGACAATTTATGTATTCAACGATTTAAAAGCCTATAATATTATAATTTCGATGTGGGTACTTAGTCATGATTACTTCTAAAGTATCTGTTAGCTAACGACTGTGTAGTCTTCTAGAGTATTGTTACTAGCTAGATCTTTGTCAATCTAATGTCTAAAGTGGAACCAAAAGTTGGTGAATTGAATGTAATTCTCTTTAAAGATGAAAGATAATATTTTCTGAATATAAATGAATCCTATTTTCTTACAGAGTCATGTACGTAACTTAGACGTGTAACTGGCAATACGCACATAACAGTAGAGTCGACATTAGGTAGAACAAAGTAGTATGTGAGTAACGACATTGAAAACTGATCTGTTAACATAAGCTATGAACTACGATAGTTTCAACTTAGATCGTATTATTTATTGATATTTTAAATTTTAGTGCGATGTATCACTAGCCGTGCCAAATCTACAAGACCTTTTAAATTAAGCGAACATTTTGTAAGAGTATTTTAATTGAGCAGTTGATACCTGGATGCTTGTCTTTCAAAACTTTTCCGCTTGTTTTAATTACTTACTGTCTACTTTAGAAAACGCCGCAGAGCAAGACAAAGTAAGTTAAAGAACCGAAAATATCAAAGAAAGTTTAATTTAAAGCACGAACTGCTGTTTATTTTGAAACATGTCTATGTGGTTCTAGTTACTGTAAAACGTCGTACCTAGTTAGGGAAGTCAGCAATAAATTTTATACTTCGACTGTGCCTTTCCTATTTCTATAATGTATTAGCTTGTGAAGTTAAATGTGGGTAGTCTCTGAGATTTAATGTGTATACTGTAGGAGTTGGAGTGTAGATACATTAAATTATGATTCTTGTTGAGTCTTTATTAAGTTTTCGTTATATGTCATGTGAAGAGTTTTGTAAATGTAAGACGTTCCCGAACAAAATAATGTTAACTTTATGTCATTCCGAAAACTAAAAACTATTCTATTTTGTACCTATGAGAGCAGTACAACAAATACTTTATTGTGTAGCATTTAGCTTAACGTTTTGTTGTGCCATTTATTCCCTGAAAATATCAAAACATGTCCTTATTAACAATATCTTTAATAATTACTTGATTGCTTCTCTTTCCACAAGACGCTATCTCTCAATTACATAATGTCTTCCATCTTTACTCAATCTATACCGGTAACTTACAATGGTATCGATCGAACTTTTATTCCTAGCTACAATAGAGTTCTTGTATAAATAGACATCGAGTGATTTCATGTTTAATATTATTTATATTTTCATGTTTATGTAAAAGAATTGATTAAAAGGAATTTAGTAAAGTTAAGAATAGTATTTTCGTGATAAAAGTAAATTTCGTGATAATGATGAATAATTGTTTTTCGGTACTGATCGTATAATAATTTAAGTGGTATGAACAATGTTCATAGTTGAGTACACCTGTTATCTTAGCTGGTGATCTGTCGAGTTAAGAAAGTTACGACAATGTTAGGTTGAAAAAATAAATCAAAATTCAAATAATTGCGTTTCATTCCACAAGAGACAATCCTGCAACATCCCTTCACATATATATCACAGATATATCCTATATCCTACATCCGCTCCAAGTTAGATTATTATTTTTAAGTTGTTCGTTTGTTCAGCGTCCCCAGGTAATTTAGCAGGCGCAGGTACCCACAAAGGAGAGAGCAACAGGCGAACTGAATTGAGTTTAGCAACAATCTTTGCGAGCGTCCTATCTTGTTAGCGAGCGCTTACAATCTCATTTGCATAATTCCTTGAAACGAATTTTAATGGGTTCTTTATCGTGTTGAACAACATAATGCCGTTTTCATGAAAAGCTGAAGATGCTCCGGCTCGTTACGATGCGAAGGGATTTGTTTGTCAAATAATTAAAACTGACCGATTCGGCCCTGGAGAGAATCTGCTTGAAAATTCAGTAAAGCAAAATAATTTCATTTCGGGAATCCTGATTTCTTGAGGAAAATGTTAAGAATCTCTTTTGAGTCGTTGTTGTTGTTGTTGTTGTTACCAAATATAGTTGTATATATTTTCTCAAATTCTAAAATTCGACGATGAATTACATCTTCAATAAAGAACTTATATAAAGAAAAAAAAGTAAAGAATAATCTGTAAGTGAACCATACATATATATTGTCGTAGTGACTTATAGGCTTCAAAAACCTATCAATGGGATATTTCCTAATTATAAACATCAATTTTTGACATATAGTGAAGGAAAAAATCGCGATGAAACCTAAACTTATAATTTCAAAAAAGATACATATGTGATCAATGCTGAACCGGCTCCGTATGAAAAAAGGTTTTTTTTCGGTTGTGAGAACGTCTACGCTTGTATTTTAATTTTAGACGAATTGATGTACACAATTTTAACCCTTAATATAATAAAGAGATCCGAAAAATAATTACTGGAATAATGGAAACGAGATAGCGAGATCTAGCAAGAACACTAGAGAACTCTCACTCTTTTCAAAAACTGTCAACGATGTATTAATTTGAACATGTGACATTACCTATAAGTATATTTTTAACTAAAGCGACTCATAACACTTTTAACATGCTCAAATAAAAATCTTTAACTATCTAAGTATTATCTAACATAGGTAATTCTCTATCACGATCTAACGTAAGACCAGGACTTAGGTTCGATTCCTAAGTCCACTAAAAGTTACAAATATACTTCTGTTTTAAATGCACACACACGCAGACAAGACAAAAGAAAGCAGGGGAACTTACCAAGTCTACCTATTTTCCAAAAAAGAGACAACTGTAGTAGAGTAGACACGTGCTACAATTAACCTACTTAAAATGATAAGCGCATATGGTTTCCAAACTAGTTTGAAACAAAAACCAGATTGGTTCTCGTTGAAGACCAGCAAAAATCCAAGTAACTGAAGAGGCCTTGTAAGTTTAAAAACAACTTGTTTATATTCTTGTGCGGCGGCAATCGTGGAATGATTGTTTTCATAACTCTAAATTTGTTAGACCTCTTGTGAGCCACGTCTGCGCGGAGCCAGCCTGGCCCAAATAAAAACTTAAATCAACTCTCTTTCGCCAACAGAAATAATTCAAGAGAGAATTCTTCCGATGCTGTCCATTCCAATCATTTATGGCAGCCTAGATTATTATTTTGACCTCTTTATTCCAACCCTAAAGACTACCCATAAGTGAGATAGGTTGTTTAATAATTGTTTAGCTGTTATTTACTACCATCTACTTTCTTTTTCCTTAGTTTCAATGAACAGCGTAATAAACTGATTTAATGGATGTTTCTCTTACTTTCTCCATAAACAAGTCATAAAAACCCATGATAATGTCAACATTAGTTTGTTTCAAAACTCTGCTTCATATTTTATTATGTAACAAACAAACAGATTAATCGTGCAGTCCGCATATTTCCCGTATAGTATAGTATTTACTTTGCCCTTAGTATTAAATTATATTCGCAATAACATTCGAACTATCAGAGTTTTTATTTTCCTCGCTCACATATGGGTAGGCACATACAAAGGGTTGAATATTTGCGTGAAAAACTGAGTATTTTTATTTAAAAATGCACAACCACCCGCAGCCTGCACAAACAAACCAAAATGTTTGTCCGGAACGGTTTAGGTACCTACCTACTGGTGAAAAATTGTGAATTCTGACCGTCAACTTCCCCCGTTTCCATTTCAAATGCTTCGAACAAAATTGTTTTTTAAAAATCTTAGGTGAAATGTTCGATGTTTTTTTCTTGTATAGGATACCTACGTATGTTTTCAGAAATAAATTGAAACGATTTTCGTGTCAAACAAAGTTCTGAAGTAGATCGCATACCGCCTTCAACTGCCAAGATTGAAGAAAGCGAAAGCTTCCAAAGTGGTTCGTAACTCAGAAAATCACGAACGTGTTGAGGAGAAGCTATTTTAACAGAGGAGACTGTTTTGTGTGAGGTAAAATAAGAAAAATAATGTATTATGAAATTATTAAAATATTATCACACATTTTTGCTACATTACATTTTGTAATTAGATAATTAATTTAACACAATTTCAAGTTAACACAAACGTAACAACTGATTTTCAAATGTTGGTTTCGATTCCCACATTTGAATAAACATTACGAACACTTTCGATACGTACAAAAATGTTTGTGACAATATAATTTATACATATATAATGAATATCGACCAAATAATAGGTAATTAACACAAATATCATCAACATTAAGCTACGCTTAGACCTCGCATATTTAGGACAGCAATAACATCACAAAGCTGATATCTTAAGTCCTTACTCAGCAATTTGTCGAAGGTATAAATTATTGGTAGTTAGTTATCTCGGGCTGGTGGAGCCCTCTCCACGTCTATTCAGCTGTAATCGGTTCCTCAGTGCGGTCTCTAATCGGTTTACTTAGAATATTGTTTGACAAACAGAGCCAAATTAGTTGCGGCCAAGATAAATGTTAGATTAGCTCTTGATAACCATTGTTATTGAGATTTTGGTTTCAGTAAGGCCAATGGTTTATTGCTTTTGATTTTAGGTTAGTAATGATGTAAGTATTTTTCTAACGCCATGTCTCTATTATCACTGATAGGTGCAGTTACTACACATTATGAAGGAAGTAAATGTGTGAGGGTGAGAAGGAATGTCTAAAAAACCTTTCCTTTTCTAGGCAAATATATTATTAAAACAAGTCGTTATTTAGTCAGATTAATGCTTAATACAACGCACAATAATTAATACCATGTGAATATTGATAATTACAAAAAAGGTATTTCAAATATACAGTCTTCCTAACGATTGAACACAATAATTTTGTGTTATTTAAAACACATATCATTAGATCTATGAAGCAATCTAATGAAAAGTACCTAGAAATGTAATAAATAGCAATATATGTAGGTATACCTATTCACTGTTCGTTTATAACAAATCAAAGCTGATTACTTTAATATGTAAAATTAACGAAACACAAATTAAACAGTTCAATATATTAAAACGTTTTAACTGAAGTGTGAAGATAATTACAGCCTATACGTACATTTCGTGTTGCCACGCTTAGAATATTTTATTCGTAAAGTGTTGCCAATTAATCTTAATTAACATGACGTCGTGCTCCCACCACATGTCGCCGTCGACAACACGTAATACATACATCATCTGAAACTTTCTTAATTATTTTAATTCACTTGCTTAATATTCATCATTTGATATGCCTCCTGTATTATGTTTATTAATGTCTGCTTGAATTAATTAGGTTTATTAAGAACAAGAGTAGAACTTCAAAAACAAAAGAAAGTTCCTTGAAGGCTGTTCCTGAAAATTTGCCATTGTTTGTGACCAAATTAAGAAAGTCTAGCTATTACTTATTCGTGTTAAATTATAATAAGAAAGTATTATACAAAGTATTTACATTTATTCGCATATTTATACATAAAGAACTCGACAGTAAAATAACATTGCTTTACTGTCGAGGATTTAATATTTTCATATAATAGAAAATAAAATAGTGGAAGAAAAAAATTTGATTATTTGATAAAAGCAATGCAAATAATGATAATGGCTTTGTGGAAATTTTACCGTATTTTATTATCCTGTAAATCCAAAACTAAAAACGTCCATAAAGTAACTCCATTAAGCTTGCAAAACCAACATTATTATATCTGAAATTCCGACACTTGATCATGTCGAGTAGGCTTTTATGAAATTAATTGAGAGAGAAATTCAATCAAGGTCCATACTTCAAATTAATCCCCACACGGCTGCTTTTCACTCATTATTGGAAACCGCTTGAAATGAAACACTGTCCAATCATTCCAAAGAGAATATTGCAAAGGGTCTCCCTCGAGAAACTCTTTAAAAATGTACAAAAGCAATTTTTTGTATCACAGTTGTATCTCGAGGAACAAAACTTCATTGAATTTGTGAAAACTGTCGAACATTCGATTTTTCAAGCTGACTTTGTAGTATTCGGCCTTGCTTTCCTCACCGAAATCCATGAGACAAAGCTGAAATATTTTTCGTGGAAAATCCGTGCCTCCAAACATATTACGTCTGGCTGAAAATTTCAAACCATTTCGGTGCAATTTTACTAGAAATCGAATCTATTGTTTGACAATATTTCTTGGAACCTGAAATAAAGTTAGCGATTTTATTGAAATCATTTTAAGTATGTAATTGACAACATCACAGCTTTGTTCAGACTTCAAACTGTAATATCAATGCAGACAACGATACAGTGTAATACTTTGGATGAGACTACAAACATTTTAAGTTTCTTCGCTTTATTAATATCACGATAATAGATTTTTTATACATAGTCTATACAACTAACTCACTTATCTGAGCCATAATTAGGTAATTAACAATTACATCTGACCCAAGTCTAAGATGATTTTTGACAAAATTTTAAAGACTTGGGAATCGAATCAAGTAAGCTGTAGTAATGACAACCACGAGAGCCACAACACAGTCACAACATCCCACTCTA